TATGTAAAGGTGCAAATTTCCAATGATGAATGTCATTATATTGTATACCTAAAATGTACTAATAATTAGAATGAATAATCAATAATGTAAAATAGGAAGACAAGGTCCAAAGGGGTAGGGGTAGTGAGAGGGGCAGGGGAAAGGAAAGAAGGGAAAGAAAAAATGATGAGAAATGGAAAAAATGGAAACAAACTCTTTGTAAATAGGGAGGGATGGAGGGGTTGAAGGGAGGGCAGAGGAATGGAGAAAAAATAAGCACCAAGAGAGATCATGTAAAGATGCAAATTTCCAATGATGAATGTCATTATATTATATACCTAAAATATACCAATAAAATTAATTTTAAAGAGAACTGAGTAGCAATCTAATATAAAGGTAAATTTAAAGTAAAATTTTTCTTTATGACCAGATTATTATAAATATTTTAATGCCTTCAAAAATTAAGACATTATCACAACATTTGTCAGTGTATATTAAAATTTTAAAAGTTCTTACATTAACATATGCTGACATTTAAAAAGAATGATGAAGCAGAGAATTAGATAAAGGCAGAAATTACTTCTGCATACATCTTGAAGAACAGCAGAAGTTATTTAGGAAGAATATATTTTTAATTAAATTAATGGCTTCAATTAGCTCTAAATTTGATTTAACTTTCAAGGGCCCAGTTAGCTAATAACAGTATAACTGAGTACCTACTATGTGCAATGCTGGGTGCTATTTTGCACTGATTATAAAACTATCACAAGCAAAACCTATGAAAGATGACTATTCAGTTGATGCTGTACTTAGGCTAGAAAGAATAATTTAAGTCACATGGATAAATGAAAATCTAACATGCTAATAGTAGAAATGTAAAATATAAAATTATTATATATCACAATGTTAAAAAGCTAAAGCTATGCCCTAAAATGCTTTTATGTTAGTACTATGAGAAAAATGGACAATACTGTGTGTTCTTTAAAAAAAAATCAAGGAGTTGCAGTTGTGATCCGGTGACTGAGCATTTGTCTAACATGTGCAATGTCCTGGGTTCAATTTCCAGCACTGCAAGAAAAACAAACAAACAACCCTCTCTTCCCATAATGATAAATACAACGGTTTCACCTGCAAGGTAGAGGAGATAGAAACTTAATTATTGTTTAAGTTCCATGGAACAGGTGATGGCATGCTTCATCAAATTTCTTAAACCACAGAAGGCTCAAGATGCAATATGCATACATACCAATATCCCATGATTAATATATTCATTACATTGTGCAAACACATATTAGTAGAAGTATTTTTTTTAGAAACATATTACACTGGAGGCAGAGTGAAAACATTTATGGCCTCATAAGTAGCAAAATATTTTTTAAAGGTCTATTAGAAATGAATGACTGGTAAAGATTAGACAATAAATATCACAAAAAAGACTGACAAAGAGTTAAACTAGGAATGAGGCTTCATTAGATATAGAAGGAATAAAAGTCAGTATTTTCTAATATGATTTTTAAAAATCTATTCACATTGTAGCTGTAGAAAAAAGATGCTTAGCTTGGGCTGGGGATTTGGCTCAGTGGTTTCACCGCCTGCTGTGCAAGCACAAGGACCCGAGTTTGATCCCCGGGTACCAAAAAAAAAAAATGCTTAGCTTAATGGATATTTATCTTATTAGCCATTATCCAGATTTTCCCTAAAAAAAACCAAAAACCAAAAAACATAATTTTCCAGGTGTGAGGAGTCCAAATTCAAGCTCAATCTGGGCAACTTAACCATTTAGGGTGACCCTGCCTCAAAATAAAAAAACAAAAAAGAGCCGTGCTTGCAGCTCACTGTTAAGGCCCCGGGTCCAGTCCACAGCACCACACACACAAATTTTCATTTGAGGGCCAGGGATTTAGCTCAGTGGTTCTGGCGCCTGCCGCTCAAGCACACGGTCCCAAGTTCGATCCCCGATACCAACAAAACAAAACAAAACAAATTTTCATTTGATATGTTTTTATATTCTTGAAAGCATATTTAAACAAATACCATTATATTTAAATTTGAAATTTCCAAGTGTGGTCATGTTATCCCATAGGATTTTTCTGAATAAGTAAAGTAAAATATTTATTACTTATCTATGTTAAATATACCAAAATTATTCTTTTAATTTCTTCAAGAACAACAAAAACCCTCAGACTTTTATTATTTCAAAACAATAAATTTAATACTCTCAGAACAGGAAGATGGCAAAAATGTCTCGTCCTGAGTAGAACATGGAACTTTTCCTGTATTAAAAATTGACTTGACTTCATTTATACATATTCACACAATGTCCTCCTCAGTGCTAATGATATGCATGTGGAGAAAGCCTAACCAGAGGGAGAAATTGTTGACCAGAAATACACAAAAGTGAACTTGTGATTCTTAAATTATCACACTGATTTAATCAACTATTATATAATTCAGTTCAATTCTAAGGTATTTATACATATTCCAAATAATTCAGAATCTGGTAAGAAACAAAATATACTTGTGCTTTGGAAAAATGTTTACTAAATAATGCTACTGTGAGCTAAAATGAATATCAACAAATAAATATTCAGCGCACAGGAATAAAGAATACCAAAATATATATAGTGACTATATAAGAATGAGGTATGATCAAAACATACAGTGAATGTTCACATTTTAAAAAAATTTATTATGGTAAAAGACATATTGCCATTAACCACTTAGTAGTCCGATTATTTAAATACATATGACCAAAAACTACATTTTTTATTAATTTTTGTAAGATAATACAACAGGAAATATAAAAATGATAATTTTACCAAATTTATTCAATACAAGAATCAATTGGTTGAAATGACCTGCCCGAGTGATGCTCGGGATAGTAAGTAAACAAACATGTTGCCCATGAAAGGAGTGATGCTCAGGATAAACTGTTAAGTGGTTAATCCCCCTCAAAATATTTCCCCTTGCTTCAAACACACTCAATCTTTCCTACCACTTTCTACAGCAGTTTTGGAAATCCTCTTTTATGAGTGGCTTCAGTTGTTCTGTCATGGCTGACTTGATATCTTGAAATGATTCAAAATGTTTCTTTCATGGTCATTTTGGTTTTGGGGAAGAGCCAAAAGTCGTACGGTGCCAGATCCAGTGAATAAGGTAGATGAGGACATAGTAATGTTTCCATTTGATGGCACTCAGCTGCAGCACTCACTTCATTTTTTGCCATACCTTGTAATGACACTCATGAAAGAAGACTTTCCGAACTGCTTCAGAAAGCGGCAAGAAAGATAAAGTGTATTCAAAGTAAGGGGAAGTATTCTGAAGGGAAACAATGGCAATGTGTCTTTTACTGTAATAATTTTTTACTTAAACATCCACCAAATATTTTGCTGTACATGGAACTTTACTTCTTAGTATTTTCTATTGTCTTTTAGTAGTCTCTTGAAACAGATCTTAAGAGGGCGCCATTGTTTACTTGAAACTTCATACACTTTATTTGATAAACTTTAAATAATATGATTTAATGATTATAAAATTTGCCTATTCAAATCTTATTATTGAGAAAGATACCTGTTCCTCTGTTCTTGCTTCAATAACTGAGCAGCTATCTTCCTCAAATCAGTTACTTCCTTCAAATCATCATCATCTTCTTCTGTAAGGAACTGTTCTTTCTCAAGTCTGAAAGTTGATACAAACATGGTTATCCCAAAAGAAAGACAGACTATTTTATGTCAGCTTATAGAAACAGAAACCACTTTTGTTTTCAACACGATGTGAAAGCTAAAATCTATTGTATTTAAAATACCAAAATAAGAAATAAAGAATATTTAAGGAAAACACATCTACATTCTCTACTCAATATAAATGTGGCATACTAATCATATTAATATAATCAATGGCTAACAAATAATGGTTAAGCACATAATCATTTTAAAAGTTATGAAATAATGTAATGGGCATAGTAATTTAACAATGCATATAGCCCAGCCTTGAGTGTAACAAGCACTACAAAGCTCTAAATGGCCCACTTTTATGAATAAATAAAAACTGTTATGAAAATTTCTCACTTTATTGAACCACACTGCTTTTATCAGTTCATTCATTTTGACTTTAAAAATCTATGTAAAATGTTAAAGGAAATGAAAAACAGGTTCAAGCAAGACTTTTTAAATTTGCCAGGAATATTAATTAAAATGTCATTTTTCTTATTTAAAGAAAACAAAGAAATTTTAAAATAAATTATTCTCCAAACTCTAGTTATTTTATCTCAAAAAGAATTTCATTTAATAAACACTATTGCTAGGCATGGTGGCACACTCCTATAAATCCCATCACTTTGGGAGGCTAAGGCAGAAGGATTGCAAGTTCAAGTTCTGCCTAGGAAACACAGTGAGATCCTGTCTCAAAATAAAAATTAAAAGGACTGGGGATGTAGCTCAGTGGTAAAGAGTCCCTGAGTTTGATCCCCAGTACCATAGAAAAAAGTAATCAACCCATGAGACTTTATATCTTTATAACATCTTCCATGACACTGATGACTCAAATTTAGGCAACTCTTCTCACTAGATAAGGTGAAAAAGTATGAGAAGAATGAAATCTAAAGAGTATAAGATGGGATGGTGTTATAGTTCAGTGGCACAGGGTCTGCCTCACATGCTTGAGGCTGTAGGCTCCAGGTTCAATACCCAGTACCCCTTCCTCCCCCAAAAGAGAAAAAGTTACTAATGAAGTCACTTACATGAAATACAATGTAGAGAAAAAACTATGGGGGTCGGAAAGAGCTTGGTTTGTGCCCTAGGTACTAGCAGACATTAATTAAGAGGGTTTAGGTAAAAAATATAGTCTCTGAACTTCACCATCCTCATTTGTAAAAATGGGGTCAACATCAATCCTGCAGGGTTTTAGTGAATGTTAAATGAGAAACATGGGAAAGCCCACAGTACTGATCTTGGTACACAGTAGGTATTCAACAAATTTTCCTTCCTTCTTTCTTGTAGTTATGCAGTATCCTAAAAGGAATGACTGAAAACAATCTGTTAGGTCATATTCCATCATTCCGTAAGGTGGAGGATAAAAAAATGATCCCTATCACAATTATTTTAATAAAATATGAAAAAATTGCCATAAACAGTCTGAAAAAATGCAAAGTACATTAGGTGAAGAGAGAGACAACACCTGGGTTGTAGACATTAGAAACTGCAGGTCTCAGTTTCCTTATACCATCCAATACCATCTATCTTAAAGGTTTGTTAAAGAGCTCAAAGGGGGCCGGGGATTTAGCTCAGTGGTTTCGCCGCCTGCTGTGCAAGCCCAAGGACCCGAGTTTGATCCCTGGTACAAAAAAAAAAGAGCTCAAAGAAAGGCCAGGGATTTAGCTCAGTGGCACTGTGCCTGCTTCACAAGCACAAGGTCCTGAGTTCGATCCCCATTACCAAAAATTAAAAAAAAAAGAGCTCAAAGGAATAGTCCTCAGTAATAAAATAGGAGACATTATTATTAAACCTCAGAGGGAAAAAAATGTACATCCTACACTTAAATGCTTACTGTGATTTTTGGTTTAATTAAGGAATTAAGACAGATGAACTATTTGCAAATTAATTAAACCTAACAGAAATGAACAAAAAACTTTACTCTTTCAAGTAAGAATATGTAATAGTTCAAGTATTTATAAGTAATAGTTCATTTTGAAAATTCATATATGCCTACCTTTTGTCATTCCTGAGTTCTTCATTTTTCTGAGATTTTTCAGAGCATCTTTCTTTTCCCTTATATAAAAGAAAATTATTATTTTAAATTTTATGGTGTATTTTTGTGAGACCAAAGAAAACATATTATCAATACTTGTTCACAGTTTTATTTACCTTAAAGAAAGAGACAAATGATCCCATATGTGTTCCGCCTTGTTCAGGAACAGTGACATCTTCTGTGTTGGGGTCAATAAAATCATATATCTCTTGGTCTAAGTATAGATTAGTATTTATTTTAAAATAGATTAGTAAATTCCCTGCACTGCAGTGCTTAGAATAAAAGTTTATTTTCTCAATATAAGAGTTAAAGACAGTATAATTTTTCAAAACCCATTTTAATAAGAGCTATGTACATGAAATAAAAATAGCAGACACCACATGAATTACCTTTCTGAGACTCAGGCTTGCTTCCTAATGTGTGACTGCCATTTCTTGATGTCTGCTCTCTATTTGATTCTGATACTTGAGAGTGAAGGCTGATTGTGTCATCATCTGATGGCTGAAAGGAACAAGCACAAAGTATAAACAAGGCATTAAAACATATGATAAAGATGACATTCTTTTAATTAAACATATTATAAAATATCTACTTTATTTCACCAGTTTTCAAAACAAAAGTTAAAATGTTAAAGTTGACTATTCTGTTTTTAAAAATAAATATATACTTTCTTTTCATTTGAAGTCCTAAAATATAACAACGTTCAAAGTTTCAAACAAAATAAAGCCAAATGTATGCTATTTCAAAGCTCTAATAAAATTATACAATAAAATATTTATCAGCAATAGAAAAGACTCACTTCCGTTGTAGATAATCGTTTCTCTCCATTATCACTTCCAATTCCAGAATCAGGGCCATGATTTTTATTTGGATAAAAATCTTCCATACTACAGAAACAGAAATCCTCAGGGAAGTTAGGACCTTGCTCATAGTTAAATAAATAATTCATACTTAACCTAAAATTTCACTAGATAATACAGAACATATATTTCTAACATATAAGATCCTCGAGGACTTGAGGAATATCAGAAATCTTCCTACAAAATATTTTATTCATGTTTCTCACGCAGCATTTTTTCCATCTTGTGCTCTGTTACAAAGTATCAGTGGTTAACAATAACTTATTTCTTCTGAGAGATTCAGAAAAACAGACTGCCCTGCTCAAAACTTATTTTGATGAAAGGCCTACTTTTCTCATTGGTTTGGCAAATTTCATCACCAGGCTTTGAAACATTTTTAATTCTATACAGTTTCCTCTTCATTAGCTCTAAAAACATGCTTTTAGTCATACAAATGATACCCATCATATAATCAAAAAAAGAGAGAATGTAGGGAGGGAAAAGGTATTCCATATATCAAATGCAGGATGTTTTGGTGCAGGATTATAGCTACCTTTATAAATTTCTGAACTACAAAATATGTATACCACTCAGGTTGCAAAGCATATTTCTCTTTAATTTACCATTTACGACACATTCTACAATGGCTGCTAAGTGTTTTAAAGATAATATAGTTTATATTTCTTGTAAAAACTCTAGCAGATGGTGGTGTTCTCTCATTTTAAACTGAAGAGACTGAGGGTAGCAAAGATGAAGCAATTTGCTCAGGGACATACAACTTGCAACAAGCAGTGTAAATGTTATCCCCAGATTACCTAGTACTAAAGTCCTGGATCTTAATCACTGTCCTATAATTTTTCCTCTAAATACAATTTCATGCTGAAAAACTTATTTTTATATTTTTCAGGAATATATATATATACATATGTATATATATATATATATATATATATATATGTAAGCAAGCATCTACCAAATATCCTGCACTATGCTGAATGTACAACAAGGTGTTTACAAAATAGACAAGGCATGGGAGGGCATTCTAGGCAATAAGATTCATACATCCAAGGGCCTGAGTATGAAAGTAGAAAGCACATACAAGAATTTTCTAAGTAGTTTGTTACAAACAATGAATGTATTGTCATACAACTCGGCATATCTGTACTGAACATCAGGTAGCCACTAGCCACATATGACTACTAAACACTTGAAACGCGGATAGTGCAAATTGAAACATGATAAATATAAAACACACACCAGATTTCAAAGATTTAGTACTCCAAAAAGCATGGAAAATATCTCATTGATTTTGTATTAACTGCATGCTAAAATGATAGTATCTTGATATACTGAGTTAAATAACATGCATTATTAAAATCAATTTACTGTTTCTTTTTACTTTCTTTAAAATAGGATACTAGAAAAATAAAAATTATATATTTAGTTCACATTACATTTCTATTAGCACTGCTAAAAACTATCTTCAAAATATATCTTAATTCTTTCTACTTCTTTTCTTCTCTATTACAATCACCCTGAAGACCATATGCTCTCTGGGCAGTACTACAATAACCTAACTGGTCCCTGTGCTTCTACTTTTGCTTATTTCCAACTTATCCTCCTAAAAGTCAAATAGTTTAACATAAATCAGGTTATGTTACTCTCCTGCTTAAAACTGTCCAATAATTTCCCATTGCATTTTAAATAAAATTCAAACTTTTGGCTGGGCATAGTGGCGCATGCCTGCAATCCCAGCACTTGGGAGGCTGAGGCAGGAGGATTGCAGTGAGTTCAAGGCCAGCCTGGACTATATAGCAAGACCCTGCCTCAAAAAACAACAACAAAACAGTTTTAACTTTTGACCAGACCACAAAGCTCCCACCTGACCTGAGCCCTAAGTACTTCTGTAAAGGCAACTTGTTCCAATAGACCCTTCAGTCACTACTCCAATTATGCTTCCAACCTTTGAACACACTAAAGTCCTTCCAACTTGCAAATATTGTAAGTCAAAACTGCATATAACACATCTAATCTACCAAAAATCATAGCTTAGCAACACAACGCAGCTAACTGTACAGTACTGATTGTTCATCTTTGTTACCAAGTCGCTGACTGGGAGCTGCAGATCACTGCTGCTGCCAGAGAGAGAGAGAGAGAGAGAGAGAGAGAGAGAGAGCGCAAGAGAGAGGGAGAGAGAAAGAGAGAGAATGAAAATGAGTATGAATGATACCACATATCACCTACTCAAGATGGTTTTTACTGAATGTCTATCACTTAAGCACCATCATAAACTGAAACACTGCTAAGCTGAGCCATCATAAGTTGGAGCCCACCTATACAAGTGTGTGTGTGCATGCTATGGTTTGAATGTGCTCCCAAAGTTCATGTGTTGGAAACGTAATTCCTCATGCAAAATACTGGGAGGTGGGCCCTAATGGGAGGTTATTTAGATCATAAGCCGTCTGCCCTAATGAATGTATTAATGTTGTTATTGCAGGACTGGGTTCATTATCCTGGGAGTAAATTTGTTGTAGGAGCATTCAGCTGCTTCTTAACCTCTTTCTTTCTCTTGCCCATGTAATGAGTTCTCTCATGCTGTGGTGCAGCAATAAGATCCTCACAATAAACCAATAAGTAGCAGTTGTATCTTGGACTTCCCAGCATCCAGAACAATGAGCCAAAGAAACTATTGTTTCTAAATCACCATCTCAGACACTTGGTTCTAGAAACACAAAATGGACTAAGTCAGTCTCTCTCTCTCTCTCTCTCTCTATGAGCGCCAAGATCAAAGTGCATGTTAACTCTAACCTAACACACATACACAGCATTCAACAAAACATATCATGAATATACCAGCAGGCATTCAACAGATATTTGTAAAACAATGTATGCCATTACTAAAGTAAATTCCCTTCAAAATAAATAAAAATAAAATTAAGAAATTAGAATAGGAAATTAATTCTAATTTTCATAGAAATCCTTGGTCTACTATTATCCATAATATTAACAAAATAATCTTTAGGAACTAAATCTAATGTTTGATTATTAGTTCTACTCAAACAAGAGAAATATTCAAGAAAAAAGTCCCATATGGGAATTCAAGAACTTGTACTGTTAACAGAATGCCTTCTTCAGTACTTACAAAACACATATGCACTATAGGCCTTATTATAGCATGGTTATGATAATTAATAACTATTAATAATAAGTAACAGAGGGCCAGGAATTTAGCTCAGTGGCACTGAGCCTGCCTTGAAAGCACAAGGTCCTGAGTTCAATCCCCAGTACCAAAAAGAAAAGTAACAGAATAGTACTTACTACATTGCCATTCAAAGTAATGTACAGCAGATATACAATGACAAATCTTTAAATATTTTAGGCAGGGGTGTATTCTTCCTTTTGTGTAGTCTGACCTCATTACAAGTTATTTCCATACATCAGCATGGAATTATATTTTCATTAAGTCTTTCAGATCAATCTACATCTTGAAAGGCTGAATTAGAAACAATATTGAATCTACCATTTCAAAACCTCATGAGGAAAACACCAAAATCATGAAGACCATTGTTTATGGTTTAGATCTGGGATGATCCTCAAAAACATCATGTGTCTGGAAGGTGATTGGATCAGGGGGCCCTATACTCCTCAGTCCACTGATGGGTTCACTGCTGAGTATGCTTAGGAGAGAGCCTGGTTAAAGGCATGTCACTAGGGGCATGACCTGGAAGGACATAGCTCCCTCCTGAGCTCCTCCCCTCTTCTCTATTTCCTGGCATCAATGATGTGAGCACCTTTCCCCTGCCTGGCTCTTCACCACGCCATTTCTGCCTTGGGGCCAGGTGACCATGGGCTGAAAATGTGAAACAAAATAAACCTCACCTATTTTAAGTTGTGGGTGTCAAGTATTATGTCCTAGTCACGAGAAAGGGACTAAGAAAAACATCAATGATATATCATTTTTGATCCAATCATAAAGAGTATGACAAAGGGGTGGGGATGTAGTTCAGTGGTAGAATACCTGACTAGCTTAAAACCCTAGGTTCAATCTTGGCAGAAGGGGATGGGTAATGATATGAAAAAAGGAAGACAGGTATTTCTGGAATGTCCTGTTCTTCTACCAACCTCAATTCAAAGTTAAATTCTATTTGCTATTACAAATGTAGACTACCAAAACCACTTAAGTGAATTAACAGTTATCATAGCTGAGAAATTAATATTTTTGAACTGTAATGTCAAGTGTTTACATTTTTACTATTAAAATAATTATCTGAGAAAATCTCAAATTTATTCTACTCTCCCAGAAGTTCATTTTATGACAGTGATATATAGCTTCAGCCAATTACTGATTTGAACACTGGCACAATTAGCCTAAATATATTCACTACTGTATACTCAAGATTAATAAATATCTTTCATAGAAAGAGAGGACAACAATTATAATCAAAACAGAGTGTAAATATTACTTTACCTGTCTGTGAGAGGCTGAGAGGGCATTCTTTTGCTCAGTGATGGAAGATCAAGAGAATCTGGTTTCTTATCCATTCTACAACATGCTTGGATATTTAAGTACTTAAATATATGTACTTTACCCTTCAAACATATCTGTTAATAAGCAGTGAAATAGATTTAGTTACACATTTCAACATATAAATAGCACCTATCAAGTTATTCATATATTTTAATAATCTGAAATTGTGTTAAAATATCACAATCTTGATTGATACTTTGCATATATAAATAATTTGTACTTTTGACACTAGTTGGAAAAATCTGACAACACTGATACCAGTGAAAATTCTATTGCCTTATCTTCTTAGTGGAAAAGGTTAATTTTCCTATATATCACTCAAGTTTTCCTGTTAAAAGCAAAATGTACAAATCATTAAACAAAACTTATGAAAGTTGCCTTTATTTAAAAAAAGAAATATACTATTCATTGGATTTGTAAGAGTAAAACAAATACGTAATTCTTTAAAATAATCTCACTCAAACTACTAAGATGTCTGGAATAAACACTGAAAGAAGACTAATAATAAAGAAAATGTAAATATGAGGAAAATGAGTTTGTTGAAAGGTAAAACAGTAGGCCAGTTGGAACAAAATAATAAAAAAAAATTAAATAATTCAATGAGAATAATACTCTGGAGAAATTATTTTCATGGAAGGAAAGGAATGAAAAGGGGAAAACAATGTGAGAAGGCATTTTGAGCTGGACCAGGTGGCACAAGCCTGTAATCCCAGCACTTGAGAAGCTCAGACAGGAGGATCTCAAGCTCAGGCCCAGTCTGAGCAATTTAGTGACTTAGCAAGACTCTGTCTCAAAATAAAATATAAAAAAAGAGAGGGCTGGCAATGTAGCTCATTGCAAAAGCCCTGAGTTTTATCCTTAGCACTGAAAAAAAAAAGTATACATCTTGTACAGGAAAAGGCGAGAAATGAGAGGAAAGGAAGTCAGTTTCTCAAAGATTAATTACAATCACTGAGTGATATCAAATAAATATTTCTCAAAATTTTAAATAAGAATGTTTTGTTTTATGGAAACAAGAAAACCTCACTTGCATGTAAAAATAACAAGGATAACAGTAAGACAACTATATTAAAAACAATTATAATTTCAAGTAAAAAGAATGCCTTTTAGATAATTTACTGGGTAACAACTCTGACTTGACCACTGAAAGTTTTCATTTAAAAGGAAAATTAAAATGTTTGAACTATCAGAATAGAAATACATTAATTACTAATTAAGATGGGCTAAATAGTGTCCTAATACCTGCTTAAACTAGAAAAACATTTATCTTTTATTATCAAATTAAATGCTAGTGACTTACTTCTTCTGTAAATTTTAACAAAAAAAGGTTTGTTTCGTTTGGGGATTTTTGAGATAAGGTCTCCTCCAGTCCAGGCTGGCCTTGAACTTACTATGTTCAGGCTGTCCTCAAACTTGCAATTCTCTTGCCTCAGCTCCAGTGCTGGGATTACTGGAATATGGTTACCACACCAGGCAAACTTTTATTTTTATTTGGGTAATTCATGCCCAGAGTTTAAAAAATGAAACAGAATTACAAAGCTAATAAAAGAATCCCCCATTCTGTTTTCAATTTTTAAGTCCCAATCCCCACTTCAAATTCTTTTAGTTGGTTTTCTGCTATTTATTCCATATTTATAATTAACATGTTTCTGTTGCTTTTTTAACTTTTCAAATATAAATTTTATTACTTAAAGTCTCACTAAAGAAGATAGGGGCTTGAATATTTTACATTACCACTACCACCATTATCACCAACACCATCACTACCATGCTCCTTCATCAACTCCTATTGACTCACATAATCATACTTCCCCTCTGTTCAAAAGTATAGCACAGTCCTCCATTCGACACTCTCCCTGGCGCGACCATCCAGCATAAACTGGTGAGACAAGCAGCGTGAAGCTCCGCGGCCCTCCCGGGCCACGCACACCACAGTGAGGTCCCAGGTGCGGCTTGGAACCCCACCTCCATCCCACACTCTCCCCGGCGCGACCAAACAGCATAAATCCATGAGACAAGCAGCATGAAGCTCTGTGGCCATCCCGGGCCCCGCCCACACCACGGTGAGGTCAGCTTAGCTATGCGGGTGCCTTCAAGGCCCAATCCCCCCCCCCACCTCTGGCCTTCTGGCTTTTCTGCTACCTGGTCCCACACTGCAAAGGCACAGGGGATTATAAAGAACCTTGTCCTGAGCACCAAAAGACAGAGCAGAAGTTAGTAACAGAAAGAGGGCTTCTCAGGCTCCTCAAAGAAAACCGAAGCTCAGCAGAAAAGTAAAGAGAACCTCTACAAGAAAGGCACATCAGACCACTATACTTGGTCTGCTGTTGGCTTGCTAAAACTCAATGACTCCTATATGCACACGGATTCCTACGTTGCCTACTGTGACAGCAGAGACATACCCTGAAGGAGGCCCATAATTTTTATTTTTTGCTATATGCAAAAAAGAAAACAAATTTTTCTTTTTTCTCTTATTTTTAATTCTTAACTTTTACTTTTTTCTACTCTTCAAATTTTTACTTTTCTTTCTTTTCTTTCTTTTATCTTTTCTTTCTCTCCCTCTCACTTGTTCTCTTGCTGTCCCACATTGCTCTTCATCTCCCCATTTGTTCCTTTCTACACTGAATTTGGATTTCTCCTTTATTTTTCTTTTCTTCTCTTTTTCCTTCTCTTGATTATCATTAGGTTTAAAGGAAAGTAAATACGGTATCTAGCCCCCCTGTTGCTGTTAGGTGATTCTATTCACATCTTTGTTCTTTCACTCTGCCTTTTCCTCTTGCCTTTAACAACTTCTTAGAGTTTGTGTGATCTTCCTATGTCTTCTGGCCTCACCGCTAAGCTTTCCTGATCTTTCTACCTGTCCCTCCCTCCCAAACTCCTTTTAACTCCCCACCCCAAAGGGGAGAGATGCTATATTGAAGAGTTTATTCATTATAAACTTACGTTGAGTTGGTCCTCAGTTTTAATTTAACTCACATAGTTAAATGTGATAGATGAATAACTACCACAAAATGTCATACTCTAAGCTGCGCTTGATGCTATGGTATTGCTGATTGTGTCATTTGGGCTAACATGTTGTGATTGATCTAATCAGTTTTCCTTCCTGGTATAAGG